GCGGCGTCCGATGCTCTGGGGGTCCGGGCCTTCGAGCGCAGCTGGCGCTGGCTCTTTAAGCTGCTGACCAAGGGACACAGCGCGGCGCCGGCCTGAGTGGCCACCATCCTGCCCGTGGCTCCCTGGGGACCGCCACAGCCGTCGTGCGGCCACGGAGGTGCAGAGTGACCTGAGGCCCTGCTGTGCCTGTGCCCCCACGGACGCCCCGGCCTCGCCCCTCCCGGGGGGCCTCTGCCCCCCTCTGCTGGCGGAGGGCGTCCCCAGACCAGGGCTGTGCGTGCTGCAGCCTGGGGTCGAGACCCCCTGCCGCGCCCCCTGCCCAAGGCGCCCTGAGTTTTCCCCGGCTGGGTGCCCGCCTGCCGGGGCCTCCGCGGGGCCAGGTGACAGTGGCCCTCGCAAACCAGCCTCTGCCATCGCAGTGCCGGGGGGAGTGGGGTGCCGCCGGGCAGCGTCTCCCCCCCTCTGGGCTTTGGGGTGGGGCCGGGAACGGAACGGCGGCTGCTGCTCTCTGGGCGCTTGGGGCGCTTGGCCGGGCTCCCGTGGGGGCCTCCTGGGCACTTGTGGCGTGCGGTCTGGGCCGGGACCCCGAGTGCGCTCACGGGGCCCGGCCGGGCACCCCTCGTCTTCGGCGAGGACATTGCTTAGAGTTAGAGCTTGTCCTAAATCGGGGGGCGCTCACCCTCAGTGTTCACCCCGAACTTGTCTGCAGAAACCTTTTCTCAGATGAGATCACGTGCTCAGGCGCTTGGGGTTAGGGCTTGGGCGTGTTTGGGGGGACACAGCCCAACGGGCAGACCCAGAGGGAAGCGCACAGGCCACAGTGGGGGCGAGGGCCCCGCGTCCCCCGCTCCTGAGGCCAGTTCTCCGGCCCCGCGCTCTGTGCCCGAACACCTGCGTCTGGTCGAACCTTCAGGTCAGGCAGAAGCCCCTGAGGCGCCGGAGGGGCAGGGAGCTGGCTGGCGGGTGCGGGCAACGCCGGAGGCGGGTGCCTGGCGGGGCGGCGTGAACGGGGTCAGCGGGGTGGGCGTTGGAGGCGGCGGGGCCCAGCTGGCTCTGGGGGACATCAGAGCGG